GGGGGCTGGAGAGATGGCTCAGCAGTTAAGAGCACTGGCTGCTCTTCCAGAGGACCTGGTTCAATTCCCAGCACCCACATGGCAGCTCACCACTGTCTGTAACTCCAGTCCTAGGGGACTCAATGCCCTCTCCTGGCATCTGCAGGCACTGCACACGCGTGGTGCTTACATTTGTGCAGGCAGAGCATGCATACATAATAAAGGAATAAAATTTTAAACCAGAAAAACAGAGCCTGGGAAGCAAATATCCAGCATGTGTGTTGTTAGAACCTCAAAAGGAAAGCGAATGGGGCCGAAAATAATAGCCAACAGTTTCTCAAATTTGGAGAGAAAACAAAAACAAAAAATCTACAAGTCCAGGAAGCCAAGTAAGCTTCAAATAGAATAAAGCTGAACAAATCTATTACAAGACGTCAAAATTAAACTTTTGAAAACTAAAAGCAAAGAAAAAAACTTAACAGCAGTGAAAAAAAAGACACCTCTCCTACAAGGGAAAACCCATGTGGCTGACAGCAGATTTCTCATCACAAGCCTTCTGAAGAAGTTGCAAATTTTTCAAATGCTATTCCTAAAGGACTATCCATTTGTAATTTTATAGCCATAAAAAGTATTCTTTGGGAATGAAGGAAAGATGAACATGTTCTCTGAGGAAGGAAACCTGAGTTATCACAGAGTTTTAAGTAAATGTAATAAGCATTCTCTGAGTGCTCTAAATGGTGTGTAATGATCTGATGTACTTCTCAATAGACAGGAAATGTTTAAGATAGCTGTTTTATTAGTACCACCATCTAACCAACTGAGCTACCTGGTCCGTAGGACATGTGGTGATATTTTATCTGTGTACCCCAATAAAGCTTATCTGAGGATCAGAGAAAAAAAGCCAGCCACTGTATTAAACATAGGTTTAGACAGTGGTAGCACACACCTTTAATCCTAGCATTCCAGAGGCAGAGATACACCTGGATCTCTGTGAGTTCAAGGCCACACTGGAAACAGCCAAGCATGGTGACTCACTTTAATCCCAGGAAGTAATGGCAGGAGGCAGAAAGTTATTTAAGGCATGAGGACCAGGAACTAGAGCCTGGGTAAGCTTTTAGGCTTTTGAGCAGCACAGTTCAGCTGAAAGGCATCCAGTCTAAGGAAGCAGGATCAGCTGAGGAATTGGCAAAGTGAGGTGACTGTGGCCTGTTCTGCTTCTCTGATCTTCCAGCGTTCACCCCAATACTTGGCTCCGGGTTTGTTTTTATTAATAAGGCCTGTTAAGATTCGTGCTACATATTATATAATATTTTGTTATATTTTTTTGAATGAATGAATGCATGAACAAAAACCTAGACCCTGGTAAAAGTTAACTAGATTGTCATTTATACCTTCTGGAAGAAGGAAAATCAGTTTTCTCCAGTGGAGTAGCACTGGGTATAGCTCCAAGGGCGGCCTTATGTTCAGGAGCAGGTGACCAACATATAATGGACTCCACAGTTTTGTGTGTGTGTGTGTGTGCTTTTATTTGGCTATGATTTGGTGGGTTTTTTAATTTCCTTTTGGATAGTATTTTATTTTATTTTGTTTTCTTTCTTTTGAGAATTTGTTGTTGTGTTGGGGTTTTACCTGTCTTTTGAGAAAGAACTTGAAGTTGGGTGGGTAGGGAAGGGAAAAGAACTGGAAGGACTTGGGGGAAGGGAACAGATTTGAATTTTAAATTGTTTTAAATATTAAAAAAATAATAATGGCAAGAGCTCTGCACATGCATTTCACCAACATCAACTTCTGGTGAGATGTTCTGGTTTGATCTTAGGGGAAAGGGAATGAAAATCAGACAGGCATTCTCTGTGCTATGTTCGCGGCTCCCAGGAGGTATATGGTGACTCAAAACGAGAAGCTAATTGTAAGAAAAGAGATTCTACGGAGCCTCTGCACAGAGCAATCCCTAATAAGTAAAACCAAACTGAAACCTATAAATCCAACCGTGTAGAAGACTTACTGTCACAACCAACACAGAAGACTGTTTGAGATGACTTCAAGCCAGAGTGGTTGGACCCTATAGCCTAAGGAAGACCAGCCCTACAAAAGGCAAAAGGAAAGAAGTCTTAAACCCTGTCCAGTAATCTTCCTATGAATAGTCTTGTTGTTACTGTGATACTGATGTGTCTGTTGTGAGGACTGTACGGGATAAAGCAAGTGTGTCAGTATCAGTAAATCCTGGTTTGGGGGTATATTGCATATGTGTTGTATGCATGCATGCATTTGTGAACGTGTGTGTGTGTGTGTGTGTGTGTGTGTGTGTGTGTGTGTGTGTATGTATGTGATAAACGTGTACATGCATGCACTTACAGGGAGTGTGTATCTATGTGTGTGTGTGTGTGTGTGTGTGTGTGTGTGTGTGTGTGTTGAATGTCTGAAAAGAGGGAGATAGAATAAAGATAGTTAAGTACAAACTATTTAAAACTGAATTAGCTAGGAAATAGTATAATTCTGCAGCATATTTCACTTAAAAACATGTTTCATAGCTATGCTGACTGGAAACTCCGAGAAACAATGATAAACGTGAGAGCTGTGACCAGCATAGATGGCTGCTTCTAAACATCTACAAAAAAAATGAGAATCTAGGGCTCCTAGGAGAAGCAGCTCCATCTAGGTCTAAGACAAGAAGTACACCAGGTGAGCCTGCACCCATGTGTCCTGATCCTGGAATGGCAAGGAAGCCACCAGACGGACCTGGGGCTGTTTCTAAAGCCCGACTGGCTGAAGAGAGGACCACGTAACCATCAATCAGAATGACAGCTGCCATGGATTAAAGTGCATCCAATGTGTTTACGTCCGAGTTCATGATCGCACTTAAAGTAACTGTATTGATCAGCTTTGCACAATACCAAGGAACCAAGTCATTATTCTGAAAACTGGTAAATACAGGGGAAATACCATCTATATCTTGTCAGCTGCACCTCATAATAACCAAAGTTTTAATGAGGGGATGTCTTCCTGTACAGAAGCTGTAGAGTTAACAAATGAAAAAACAAAGATGGCCTCCAATCAAAAGCCACATTTTTTTTTTTTTTGCAACTCTTCATGGAATAAGAATCTAGATGATTATCATCAAGAGCTGCTAACATGAATAAAGGGAAGATAACCAGATTGTATGCGCCTCCTGACGAAAGCACAAACTACCACTTAGGAATTGCTCTTGCCAAAGAAAGAGAGAGAGGAGGGAGAGAGAAGAGAGCCTGAATAAGTCTCTAGACCTAATTATCAATTCACAGGAATAACACCACGGGGATGCAATCAGCAAATCCAGCTCTGGAAACCCCACAGTGCAAACAACCCAGTTTCTTCAACAAATAACATACAAAGGAGAGAGAGCGTGTGTCCAAGAAAAGCCTGGAGATTTCTGAGAGGAACATCAGCCAGGTGCAATGTAGGAATCCTATTTGGAGCCTGGTTTACACTCGAGGTGGCAGGTGAGGTAAGTGCCGGAGAGGTAAGTGCCGGAGAGGTGAGTGCCGGAGAGGTGAGTGCCGGAGAGGTGAGTGCCGGAGAGGTGAGTGCCGACTGTTTGATTTGATCGTTATTGTGGGATGGGTTGGTCTTTCCCTTTATCTTTCCAGGCAGAATCTTGTCATGTAGCCCAGGCTGGCCTCAAACTCACAATCCTCTTGTCTCAGCTTCCTAAATACTGTGATTACAGGTGTGTCCCACTGTACCCAACTGGCTTGACATTTTTAAGTCCACAGTATTTATACATGAAATGATATGTTTTCCCAGATCTACTTCAAAGTCATCCGGAGTCGGGGAGAAAGGTGACAGCTAAGACTGAATGAAATGATTGGCCGTAAGTGACTTGTGGAGCTGGGCCATGAGGATTTCCATTTTCTCTGCCATTGTCCAAATTTTACATAAATATGAAATTTTTCAAAACAAAAGTTTGTTTGATATACTCATACAGAGCCAGTGGTCGCATATGCCTTTAATCCCAGTACCTGAGAGGGAGAGGCAAGAGGACCATGAGGAGGTCAAGATCATAGCAAGTTTGGCTTGGATCCATAGCAAGTTTGAGATCAGCCTAGGCTACCTGAGACCCTACCAAATGTAGGGAAAAGAAGAAATCGACACAGAGGCTATGGAGATGACTCTGTCGGTAACGTGCTTACCACGAAAGCATAGAATCTGAGTTCAATCCTCAGAACCCATGTAAATGCACACATTTGTAATCCCAGTGCTGGGGAGGAAAAGATAGGCAACTCCCTGGGGCTCGATGGCTGGCCAGCCGAGCTGAATCAGCAAGCTACTGGTAAAAGAGAGAGATCCTGGCTAAAAAAGCAAGGTGAAGAGCAGCTAATTAAGGAAGATACTTACATGCACACATGTACCCCCACACACACACACACACACATACACATGTACACACACATACATACATACACACACACACACACATACTCACCATGCACACACATGGAAACAGGTATATACACATATATACATACTTAAATTTTAAAATAAAAAATATGACCACAGAAAACTGCATTTCTAGAGGTAGCTATCTCCCTAATCTACACCAGAGTCTTTATTCTATTCTGATAAGCCTAGATTAAAATCTTAGCCATGACAGCAATAATACCCAGTATTTTAGAGCATATACACATTGAGTTATTTTAGATATTGTCATTCAATCCCGATAAAGTCTGTGTAGTAAATACTGAGATTCTCCACACCTCACAGACGACAAGCCTCAGGGACAGAGTTCGGATGACAAAACTAAGCCTTATTCCCACAACTAAGCACATTTGCAGATTTTAGCCAACACCCAAGGGTGAAAAATGAAGATTGCTTTCACTGGACTTCTCTGAGATAAATACCTCCCATCATCCCTGTCTGGTCCCTTGGAGAATCTATACTATCTGACCCCCACCCTACCCAACTGTGTGAACTCCCAGACACAGTAGTACTTTTTCCTCCAGACTGGAACCCCTGTGCATGCTGGTCCCAGCGGTGGCATGGCTCACCTGGGCCTCGGTGCCTCTTCTCCATCCAGATGTAGCAGTTGTTCTGGGCTACCCCAGTCTGCGAGTCCAGGAAGGGCAGACGCACGCTCCGCTCTGCACACAGCCGTGAGTTGTAGCTCCGGCAGTGCTCAATGGCTTCCTTGTAGAACTGGTCCCCAAGCCTACAGGAGGCAAAAGAGCCAAGGAGTGAGACCAGGCAAAGTAGACACAATCAGAGGGAAGGAGTCCCCTACCCTCTCCCCAGGAAGCAGCCACATTTATGGTAGCCAAGCCAATGAGCACCAAGAGCCCCAATGTCATCAAATCTCTACCAGATCCCATTTCCTGTCCCATCTACCAAGTCACTTAGAAGCTCCTTTAAAATAGGCCCCAGAGAACAAACCATCATAAAGGTGACCAGCCCTGTCTTGGGATGCTGAGATGTGGCCAGCCCCTGGAGGTGGTCTGTAGCAATGTTCTGTATAGGACTTAGAGAGCATCCAGCTGCCAGAGCCCCCTCTTTGAGCAGCCCCATAATATTGCTCTCAAAAGTTGCCAAAACACACCCAGATTACTATTACAACAGAGAAGCGTTTAGAATAAACTAGGACTACAAGGGCAGAGAAGGCACCCTGCGGAGGTCCAGCCATTCGTTGTAAGAAGTATGTAAGGGAGGATGCATGTGGATCTTCTAAAGCCACAGTTAAAGAAAAAGAACTTTCTCTGATCAAAACAAGAGAAGTATTTAAAATAATGTCTGATACTCCCCCACCTTGGGAATTGCTGAGGGATGCTACAGAAGGGGGGGTTGTGTAACCACCAAAGGGAGCTCACTAGACCCCAGTTCACAGTCCCACACCCCTGGCCACACAGCCCTGCCTAAACACAGTAGGACACAAAACAAAACAAAGAGACATGATTGTGAGATGGGGACTTGTATGGAAAAGGGGAGGTTGATGCGGGTGGGCGAGCTATAAGAGAGGTAGGGGTAGTCATCAGAATGCACTATATGTATAAAATTTCCAAAGAATAAATTTAATTAATAAAAATTAAAATGGTGAGGCTGGAGAGCAGGCTCAGCTGTTAAGAGCACTCACTGCTCTTCCAGGGGACCTGAGTTTGGTCCCTAGCATCCAGGTCAGGCAACTCACAGCCACCTATAACATTAAGGGGATTTAATGTCCTTTTCTGACCTCCATATATAGACACATGTGTGTAGCATTTATACAGAGACACACAGAGAGAGAGAGGAGAGAGGAGAGAGGGAGAGGGAGAGGGAGAGGGAGAGGGAGAGAGAGAGAGAGAGAGAGAGAGGGAGAGAGAGAGAGAGAGAGAGAGAGAGAGAGAGAGAGAGAGATTTTTTAATTAGGACAAGATTAATAATAATAATAATACTTGAAAATGCCCAGAGTTGAAGACACAATTAGAAGACCATCCTGGTTTGCAGGGTGGTGACCCAATTTACACAGTCAATTTTATGTCTGTGAATCAAGTATTTCATATAATTTGGATCTTTTGAGGCCAGCATATTGCACTTAGCATACAGCATTCTAGATTCATCCATGTTATAATATATGTCAGAGTGTCCTTCTGTGTCAGACTGTATTACATCCCATACTTTGCTTCTCAGTTCATCAGTCAGTGGATAGCTGGATTGCCTTCATGCCCTAGTCACTATGAATATATAATAACTATACTCTCTACAGAGAACATGTCACAATACTCTGTGGACATAGGGGTATACACATCAAGTTCTACTTCCAATCATTTTGAGTTCAGGCCCAAGAGTGGATTTGATGGAGCATCTGGAAATTCTGTTTTCCTTTTTTTTTCTTTCTTTCTTGCTTTTGTTTTTTTTTTTTAAAGAACTACCATACTGTTTTTCACAGTGGCTCAGCCATTTCACAATCCCACCAGCAATGCACAGGGTTCTAATCCAGCATATAGCACTACGGATTGCCAGACAGCAAGGTTTTAAGCAGACTTGTCTGTCCTTTCTTTTTAAAATCAATGGGTCAGATTCTACTGAAGATTTTTAACTTTATTCTGTTTATTAACATATTATTATTATTATTATTATTATTATTATTATTATTATTACTAGCGCATGAGTGTGGAGGCAAGGCACTGTGTGAAGATCAGAAGACAACTTTGCAGAAACAGTTCTCTCCTTCCATCGAGGATGGAACTGAGGCCCTAAGGCTTGCTCAGCAAGCACCTTTGGCCACTGAGTCATCTCACCAGCCTCCTACCAAAGGATCGAAAGCAAACATCTGACAGTTGGAGAATACAGTCATGGAAGACTCATCTGTAAGCTAATTGTTGACAAGCCTCTGAGAAACAAACAATGCCCCTCCCTGCTCCTCCAACCCCCCTACCCGCTCTCTTCACCTCTGAAGATCCTCATAGTCACACAGAAGGCCCAGCACACAGAGAAGGTACCCCAGCAGTAACAAAACCAAACTACCGTCAAAGCCTAATAACCACACAGCTGGAAACGAACTGGGGAGGGAAAGCTGGAAGCCCATTAAAATGCTATAAAATGGAACAGCACGTAATCTGATGTAATCAAAGATACTAACAAGAACCACAAGATTGATCAAAAATGAAGAACATTTTCAACCAAGTATCTGCCTGTGTCACACCAGCCTGAACGGTTCCCCCAGCTAAGGCCATGTGTCTCAGAGGAACAGAACCATTTACAGGCAGTTCGACCCATGCAAGATGACACAGCCTGCCCAGAGTCTCCAGCAACCAACACCCATGCCGTTTCTTGTAGACAGGATCTTACTATGCAGCCCATGTTCCTGCCTCAGCCTCCCAAGGGCCAAGATGACAGGTGAACACCACCATCCATCCGGACTCATCTCATGATCTTTTTAAAAAGATGTTCACTAGTTCAACCTAAGAAATTCTGGTTAAGGGGAGGGGGGGGGAATAAGAAGATAAACATAAAAAAAAGGGATGGGGGGTGTGGTAAAATTCACCTCCTGGAGGAAACAGGATTTCTTTCTTCTGGAAACCAGTATGTAAGAAATCCATAGCAAGATTTTAAGGCAAATGTCCCTGCCACGTTCCTCGCTTCCGACAGCTTTGGCCCACGTAAGAGGAACAAGAAAATGAACTTAGTAAGAGTGAACCATGAAGCTGTCCAGCATCTGCACCTCACACCGAATGGAGCCCAACAGAGCTGGGACACGGTGAAAACGGAGTTCATCTCCGGACACTCGGTGTCAGTACTAACAGGCACGCCGGGACAAACATGTATTTTCAAAAGTGTAATCTTTGTGTGGATGAAACTTCTTATAAATATCAGATCCTGTGTGGTGCCGGAGTTCTCACCTTCTGCCTTTCCAGGGCTTCCAGGGATTGAACTCGGGTCCCTTGGGCTTGCATGGCAAGGGCCTCTAACCCACTGTGCTATAGACTGGAACCTCTAGACTATCATCTCTCCCCAGGGAAATCACTTTTGAACAGACCGGATACTGGCAGGGATTTGAAAACAAAAGTTAAATGCCATTTTTGAAGATATGGGAGGAGGGAGGGAAAAAAAAAAGACTTCAACTTCCTGGATAAATTTAAGTGGCACTTCTCTGAAAGTTAATTAGCCAAAATCTTCACGGAGCTTTCTACACACTCTAAAAGAAAATCGATGGCCAGGTCTCCCAAACCCATGGAAAGCAATTTCAACAGGAAAGAAGACAAATGTCCTCTCCAATATGGCATTTAAAAATAAATAAATAAATAAAGTCCCACGAGGAAAGGATCCCACGGGTGACATTTGCATTAAAGCCACAGGGGGCAAAAGGAGCAAGGACAGGCTGGCAGCATATGACTCATTTTGTGGAGTTGTGACCAGTGTGCCCCAGGCTGGAGCAGGCATGGACCAACCTCAGCCATCACCTGTCCGGCACCAGACCATGGGGGCTAGATTACCAGGGCATGATTGATGTCTTGAGCTGGAAGAAGCTGGCACCAGGCAGGTTAGAGTGATGTCCTCATCAAGAACTGACCCCAGGCCACTAAAGACGGCAATCAGAAACAGAAAGGCAAAAAGAAGTCTCTGGGCTCAGAAAAGCCTTCCAGTATTCCAGAAATACCAGCCACCTGGTTCTAGGGTCCTTTGTAAGGAAGCGGGTGGAAGACCCCTTTATGGTCCCAACTGGACAGAGGGGTCCAGCCTAACTCTGAGAACTGGATGTTCCTCTCAAGAGATTTCCAAGGACCTTTCTTGAGCATGTCTATGGGGAGATGAATTCCAGGGCCCGAAGGGCCCTCTGCTCCTCTTCCAACTTCCTATTCTAGAGAACGTGTTCGCTGGATCAACTTCCTGTCTACTACCTTGAGATAATGCTCAGCGCCAACCCTCCAATCAGACACTTGCCCTTACTGTCCCACGGGTTCTGTACTCATAACTAAGGACATGTGTCATGCCAGACTTCACATACGTACCCATCAGATATAATGGAACATGCCTACAATCCTAGTACCTTTAAAGTGGAAGCAAGAGGGTTACAAGTTCAAGGCCATCCTGGACTATGGAACCAGTCTCCGCCTCCAGCAGGGGGAGAGGGAGTGTTCAAAAGCCAATTCCCCATCTTCTGCCAAGAGCCTTTCTCCCTCCCCAGCTTCCATTCTTCTGGGAGGGGGAGCAAAGAGGGGTCACTACTCCCCACCCACATGGCCACTGGCCCAAGGCCCTCCCTCTGCCCTCACTCTGCCTGGCACTGAGTTCTGTCCCTTTCCAGAGTTCTTGTCTATTCACGCACGCTATGTGGCCACAAGTCCCCTGTTGCTGTTACAACAGGACCTTGGCCTACTCTCTGTGCCTGTAAACAGAGATAAGCAGCCCTGGCCAGTGACATTTCTGATTCCCCTCTCCCCTCCCACCGCCACCCTCTACAGTGCCTCCGCCTGGCACCCTCACACCCATAGTCTCACCCAGCCGCCCACAGTCCCCAGCCGCCCACAAACGCACATTAAACTCATCTCCGGGGCACTGACGTCCTGCTCTTTGCATTTTAGTATGTGTAACGGGTGGCGTAGATAGCTCTGTTCTCACTCAGCTTTGAAGAAGCCCCTCGCAAGCTACAGGCAGTTTTTGACAAGGTAAAGGGACCATTTTACTTCCCTTGATGGCGTATTGTTCCTAGAGTGGCCCTTGAAAGAAAAGCTAGCTTAG